GAACTTAGTAACAAGGCAAACGTTACTCACAAATTTAAGAAGGGAACAGTACAAACCTTCCATCCCTGATGACTTCACATGTCCTATTATTAACCTCGCTGTCCATTCTGTGACGAGTCTGAAAACCAGGAGCAGATAATGTACTCCTTACCGTGCATCACTATAAGGAAACGAACTGCACTGTTTTCTTTTGCTTCTCATTAACAGAACAAGTTTCTTACAATGTCATCCGCTAGGTCTTTGACTGCCGTTATTCCCAGCACCAAGAGCAAGGGCACCAGTGTTGTATACCATGACAGGGTACTTATTTGGGGAATCGACTACAAAAGACAAATAAAAGCAGTTCAGTACAGATCATCAATGAAGGTCAATCCAGAGACATTTAACAGTGATCTGGCTGTAACACAAGAAAGAAAACCAACACATCAGAGAGAGAATTTTAAGTCAGGCTGTGAAGATGAACAAAACTCTCAGGGTAGCGTTTGACCATGCTGCCCTGCCTCAGCTTTGGTTTCTCTTTAACAATTGTAGTTGCTCATATTTTCTGCTGGCACTTCTGACTTGTGAGTGGAACTTAAGGCAGTCATATTTTACAAAGTGAAAGAAACATCTTTTCCCCATGAAATTCATGAACACTGCAACTAGCCCATCCTAGCCAACACAAAGCTAGGGTAGGTTGTTCCAGATTTCCGCCCAGACGGGCTTAGTTTCTGCAGTAGCTCAGATCGAGTCCGTTAAGAAGTACCCTGCAGTTTCCTGATAGGATAGCACTGAATTGTGCCCTAAGGATTATTCAGCTCAGTAGATTAGCACCTCAAATTCACCCCTGTTAGTATTCTCTCCGTCTTTCTTACCTGCAAAATGAGAAGAACAAGGAAATAAAAGTTGGCTGCTCTTTTAAACTGTTCAAACAGATTCAGCGGTAAAAAAGTGATAGGGTTGTACTTGTATGTCTTAATTGCATTTCCCTGTTGAAGAAAACCAAATGTCATTCACAACAGCAGATTATTCTTAGACGAAAAGATGCACGGTACATTTGTAAAGCAAAGCACTTCACTAGTGAAATCCTGCCTACGAACTTTGCCCGAGCTGCACCCTTCCTGAACAGTTTAACGTGGGCCACCGTCTTAACGAAACACGGCCTAAGAGGGCTGTTTCACTGACGTTACCACACCCCAAAAGGCAGCTCGGGCCGAAGCTTTAGCTACACCAGGCACCACGGGGCACTGCACAGTCACAGTGTGGAAAGGGTACAGCCCCTCCCCAGGGGAGCGACACTGCACGTGGCACGGCCGGATGAGCACAGAGAAGGGGACAAAACTTTAGTGCTCTCCTCCTCCTTTCGACACTATTGGCTAAATACACAACGTCACCATTAGGGATACAATTGGTCTCAGGCATCAAACTACAAATAGTGAATCCAGATACTACGGACCGTTAATCAGACTTATTTAGGAGGGACAACATCAGATCCACCAAAGGTTAACTATCACGAGTGCCAGTCCCTACCTAGTCCAAGCATGAAAGACTGCCACTTGAATAGCTCCCGTTGTAGAAGCTTTCCTATTAAATTGCATGAGGCAATGCAAACTGCTCCGAGCTTGCAGGGTGGGTATGCAGTAGGCACAAGGCAACCACGTGAGCCGATGCATCACAGGTAAAGCCGGCCAGTCCGCGTGTAACCCCGCAGTCCACGCCCCTCACTCGCGATCAGCGCCATATACGAGCACCCTAGCTTTATTACGTAGAAAAGTTTAAAAAAATTTAGGAACAGGAAAAAAAAAAAATCAACCTTTTGTCTTGCTAAGAAAGATAAAAAGGTCTCTTTTGTCATAATTAGGTGGATTTAGAGTGACACCGTTTAGATGACTAGACACTCCCAAATGTCTATTTTTAAGACTGTCCCAGTCTAGCTTAATCAGGATATGCTTGCTTAATACTACACTGAGACTTCTTATGTGAAATATGTCATCTACGTGGACATTTGCAGCAGCCATAGCTGAGCAGATAAAACCCGGAATTTGGACTGAGGTCACCTGGCTTCTAATTCTCTATCTTGCCTTAAACAACTCTCTTGATACTTTGATTTGCCATTCAAAAAACCCAAAACCAGTTATACTTCCCCACCTTTGCTGGAAATCCTAAGTAAGTGTTAATTGTGGCTTTTACACTAATCACCAGTGGTTTGAAAGATCTTACTGAGATTAAGAAAGTATTCACCCTGGCAAGTACTATTAGCACATCATTGAGATACAGAAAACTTACTGCATATTTGCTTTTTGTGAAGCACAGAAATATCGTTCTCTTAAACTGAGGCTGTTCGTAGAAGCGTTGATCATTTGCTTTAACTTGCCAGCTGCAGTCTGGAAGAGACAAGGCAAAATGGGTCAACACCACATTGTTGGAGGGAACAAAGCTGCCAGTTTCAGGTTTTCCCTCAAATGCCATCTTTTAAAGGTATTTTCAACCGAAACAAGTCCGGTACCTGCTTTTTAGTATACAGTCAAAAGAAAACGGTTTTCAACAAGTTTCCAGGATATTTGTCTTTGTTAATGATTACAATATAATTTGAAGTAGGAGTGGTGACTAACAATTCGGAAGTTCTATGAGAAACTGAAAACCTATCAGAGTAACACTTACTCATGCTAAATTCCCTTCTTTCGGTTTGCTTTTGTTACACTTGTGAAGCACTAAGCACGCAAAACAGGGTTTCTCAGTCTTTCTAGAAATGAAAAGGCCCACTCAGCTTTTCAAAACAATTATTTCATATAACTACACTGTGCAATGGTTTTCATTTACAGACATAAAAAAGTGAAAATCTGAAGTGTTCATTTTATTTCTTTGGCCATCAATTTTGTTCGATTGTTTGAAAACTCAGGAATATGAATTGTATTTTTCAGTAAAATTTAACAAAACTAACCAAGCAATTTCTGCAACAGCCTTCTGAAGTTTTGGACCATAAAAGCTGGAAAATTGCTTACAAAGCAGCTGAGCCATCTTGCCTCCTTCTGTCACCTTCTGCATTTAAAACCTGACTTGACACAAAGCCTCCCCAAGGAAAAAGCTCCCAGGGGCCTTGCTCACAAACCACCCATCGCCACCTCAAGGTCCCCATCATTAATCTAAGTCCTGTGATGTCCACCTTTAAGTGGGGCTCATCTAGGACGTACGTAGCTTCTGGCTGACCACTATCTACTGCCAGAACGACTCCTGCTGTCAAGTTATTTTCCAGGCCCCCGCTTTCACAAGCTGCCCCTTCCCCTCCAGGATCCCTCAGATCCCTTTCCTGCCCTCAAGCCTGCATCACCGGTGGCCCCGTGCACCCTGCCACCCACACCCCAGGTCAGGCCCTGCCCACATCAAAGCAGCTCCCCGCTGAACTCCCTCAGCAGGTTCCTCAGCCTCACCTGGGCTTTGCCTGCCTGGGGAGGACAGGGCAGACAGCATTTTGACATTCAGCTCTCCTGACTCATCGGCCAAGCATCTCCCCCTTTTCTCCAGCCCACATCCTTCGTTGGTGCTCCTTTTGGTTTGGTGGGATTCCCAGACCCAAGCCCATCAGCCCTGCAGAGCATGGAGGGGTGAAGCTCCTGGAGGCCGAGGTGTGGGTGGGATGGCCCCCGCTGCCAGGGGCTGGCAGGGAAGCACTGGGACGCTGCTCCAGGGCTGCTGTAGGGCCAGCCCTGAGGCAGTCGGGTCTGGTAAGGCTGACTCAGGCTTAGAAACTCAAATCCAGGCACAAAGCCTTTTTTTCCCCTCATCCAACGCATAAAGCAAGTTCTCTGTGATGTATCTGGGATCTCTGCTGTGACTACACAATTTCCATTTCCAGCATATTGGCTGTAAGCTGAGATGACAGTAGAGAAATAGTTATCCTGCTGTAGCACGTGTATTTAAGACTGCAGAGACGGAAACGCGCATCAGATGGTGAAGATACATTGTGCATCCTGGTCAGGGCTCACACAGAAGTGCTGCGATCACAGCAGTTTAGCTGCCTTACATAAAATTCGCAAAAAAGTATTACTGGAGGACCAGGTTTTGGTTTAAAAGAAGATATCTGTCACTGAGGTGCACGAATTGAGGAAGTTATTAATGACAGGACTGAAGAAAATTGTAAACACGCCTACGAGAACATTTCTTCACCCCATTCCCAAAAACACTGCAGTGTTGATAAAACCGTGGCACCCCAGATGGAAAACTGGCAAATTAGGTCGTAAATAAAACCTGCAGGAAGCTCCCCAAAATTACTTTAAACTGCTTGAAAGTTATATTAATCCTAATATTTGGGAAGCTGCATCAGTAATTCATCATCTTTAAAGGAATATAAGGGGAAAACCATCTTTGTTGAGTGGAAAAAATATGAAGGAAAAAAGGATGACATTTTTGTGGCACTACCTGAATATAATTAGCTACTGAACCAGGCAGCAGATTCTACAAATTCTGCAACTTACGCGAGAAAGTTATTCATTAACCAGAAAAAGCAGGCAAAGAGGATTTAACCAAGTAAAAAAACCCCTAAGGGTCTAAAGAGGGGAAAAAGAAAAAAACATCTGACAAAGTTTGTCAACTGCTTACAAGCTCTATGACTATAGAGTACTGGCCTACCAAGCGTGCATGGCCACATCTCTTACCTCCTTAAAGCTTCTGCCCTAGTGCAGAGTTCAAAGGGACTCTGCCATATCCACAGCTCTAGTCCACATTCTGGATAATAATTTGGGTAACATTAACTGTACAGACAGCAGAGGCTCGTGGCTACACCGAACTAGCAGGAGCTACGAGCCCTTTGGAGGGCAGAATCAAAACTCACCTCCCTGCTTTCAGGTTCTCTCCCATTCACCAGGATAAAGGAAAAGACATGGTACATTTCAGAAAAGAAACGGAAGGGGTAGGAGGTCCTGTTTCAGTTCTGTTTCTCTCTTTTTTTGTTTTTCTTGTGCTCATACTAGGCCACAAAGCAAACCTGTGGCTGCTGGTGTACTCTGTCTATGAAATAAAATATCTGGATAAAATAAGGGGGGAGTGGGGGGAGTGGGGGGAGATAGCAACAGTTGTGATGAGAACTCAAGAAAAAATGAAGGATGATGAGAGGCTAAGAAACCTGTTTATTCTATAGACTGTGTTACCTCAGTCATTGCAAAAAAAAAAAAAACAAACCAAAATTAAACATGTAATAAGTGGTTATAAAATGAAAACACGTAATAAGTCCTTATAAAATCAGAGGTGATCAACTGTTCCCTATTGCCACACAAACAGGAAGAAATCTATTAAACAGGCGATGGTTAAATAAAAAGTACTCACATTGCAACACCGGGAAAAAAGAAAAAAAAAAAGAGGTATTTAGGGGAGTTACAGACTTTCCTTGGACAGAGGTTAAGGTATGTCTAAAACATGCCAGAGGTTCCTCCCACTTATGCTCCTACACTCTCCTACACTGGTGGCAGCACACAGACCGCACTTGACGGGTTTCTTTGAACTCCTACTCACCCTGCCTTTCTGGGATTCTGGAAGCACTGCAAATAAAGAAAGTCATGGGGCTACATAATTAGCATTGAAGCTGAGATGTCATCCGCACAAGGCTCGGAAAGTGGAAATACATGCAAACCAACTGACTGAACACAGCAAATTGGCTAATGCTGGTTCCAGTTTCCAGAAGTATCTCAGGTTCTGTTCAAGCAGTTCTGGGAGCATAGGCTATGGACATCGAGGGCCAGCCTTAATTAAGATGAGGTCACTGTGCAGATCATCAGCTTTACGCAACAAACAGTGGCACAGAACTCTGTTTGCAGATTGGAATGAAGCTGATTTTCCTTCTGATGTTTGTTAAACTGAATTGCCATCAATTACTCCTCCACAGATTCAAATAAACCATTCCAAATCCTACCTAACCAATAAGCACAGAAATCAAATCGATCCATGTATGTCTCAGCCTCTGTACCCAGGATCATTTGCTACCCAAAGCAAGTTTCTGTCATAACGTTACCTTTTTTCAACGGCTCTCGGCTCTCCTCGGTGTCTCTGTTGATTCGGTTTTGTCCTGGTTCGCCCGCAGGCTGCTGACTGTCCAACTCTTCCTCCGTTTCATCGTCACTGTAAGGCATCACCTCATCGTTAGGCTGGGAATCCTCATCGAAGGTGGTCTCCGAATCCCTTTCTGAGATCATGCTGTTAGTGTCCTGCGAGCATTTCATAAAAGTCAAGGAAAGCAGTTAACATAGCAAGCGCTGGAAACCACATCCCTGTAATTTTACTCTGTTGGTGCTGGTGACCAGAACTCACGCTTGAAACCAGTTTCCCTGGAACAGCATACAGCCTGGGCTAGGTTTTCAAGCACAGACCACAGTCACGAGGCAGTTATTTTCAGAGCAAGCCCTTCATTACCATTCTGCTATACGTAATTACACATGCTCACACAACAGACTAAGGAATGCTCTGCGCTCACGATGCAGCACACCTTGAGTGGGATGCAGGAATTAGGGAGCCCACAAACACCCGACTCCCAGCGGCCATTACACCATCCCATGCAGAGCCACAGGATCCAGAGCCCTGCTTGGTCATGGTGGGGCCAGGCACGAGCCACCAAGCGCCAGGCCAGCAGGAGTCACGTCATCGAGGGTTCAGGTCACGCAGCTGCTCCTCCATCCCAGTCTGCCCAGTCTCACCCACTCCAGTCCTCGCTTTCTCGCCCCTCCCACAGGCTGAACGTCAGTGTTTCTCACTGCAAGACCCCACATCTTGGTGTCCAAATACCCAGGGAAGTTTATAACTAACCTGTGATTCAACACCCAAGACCAGTCAGTTGAAGCTGTGATGCGTGTGTGCACACCTCTGCTGGAAGCTTTTCAGAAAGCACACGTGCTCCCTAACCCCTTGAGCACTAGCGCATTATCTCCCAAATTGGGATCTCCACTTTCCATAAAGTTACAGCTCTTGAAAAACTCCCAACGTTGCTGTGACCTGGGCTGCTGCAGTTGGCTGATCTCAGACAGAAGCAAGACACGCAACGGAGGATCCCAGCCTCCTCCAGCGTTTTTAGGTCACCGAGACAGTTTCTACAGCTTACGCTATCTGCTGCAACAGACAGCGTCCGATTAACTGCCTGTACGCAAAATCCAGAAACCAACTACTCGTGTGTAACTCCCCTCCAACCAACACCTACAAACAACCACCTGCACAATTCCTAGGTCGTCTTCATCTACGTTTGGCCAGTCAGCCGCCTTGCTGGGTGTCCTGGCACTTGAGTAGCTGACCTGGCACAAGGGCTCACACCGTTCTGACAAGCGCGTCTGTTCATTTCTAACCACGCAATACCCGAGTTCGCTGTACTGAAGCTTAAGTTACCTGCACTTCTTTCTGCAGATCAACACTTCCAAACAGGCTGTCCTGCCTGTGCTAGGCACAACAACTGTAAGAAAACTAAAAACTGTGAGGGGAGGAGGGGGCTCCATCACCTCAGCCATTTCTGCCAGGGCCCTAAGGGCACCAATAGGCCCCTCTGGCCCAGATCAGCCTCGCCCTGGCCCTCCCACACCCACGGGACCAGGAGCCACGTTTCGGCTCAGCCTGCGGGCCCTGAGCTGCACTGGAGAGGGCTGGTCTCCATCTGAGCCGTGGCCATGTCCATGGCCCCTTCAGCTCTGCCTCGACACCGTGGACCTCTCCAGCCATCGCTGGGCCTGATCCTAAGCCTGAACTACGCTTCAACTTCCCGGCTTGACCCTGGACCTGCCACACCACCATGGCACTGCCTCACGGCCTGGACTCGAGTTGGACTGTCTCGGGGTCTGTCCTGCTTGCCTCATGGGACCCAGGACACTTGCTTTCCCCCGGGGCGCAGCCCTGCTCTTGCTGCTCCCTGGTGACTTCGAAATAAAACCACAGTAAAGGATGGCTGAAGCCAAGTAACATAACGTGCACAGCAGCTAGCTACCAAGTACCCGTCTGCGGACCTATCCTGCAAGAAGAGCCTGGTGCTGTGAAGGAAGGTCAGTACCACCCTATACCCGCTGTGCTGTTGCTAACAAAACCAGCAACCACTGGGACTGACACCAAACCCTGTCGACATCCACCTTAGTTTCTATTTTGCAAAGCTGAATTGTCTCCCCTCCTTAATATCTCTTATAAGAGAGATATAAATATTACATGAGCACTTAATATGCTACTCGAATGACATGGCTGTTAGCTGGGAGCCCAAAGCACGCAACACTGAGCTGCAGTGCTGCAGTGCTCACCCAGCACACAGGCTGTTTCAAGACTGTCAGTTTACAAAACAAACCAAACCCACCAGGTACCGTATGAACGCGCAGCTTGATTTAATATCAACTAATACAACTTCTCCCAAGACCCACTCAAGCTGTTAAGAGCGGCTCACTGACGTGAGTAGCCAGGAATACGACAGCTAGTCACTAACACAGTTGTGGAACCTGAAACTTTTGTGAAAAGATCTCTTGTTTTCCTAAATACCCTTGGAGTTATGGAATTCACCTCAAGATGCAGGAGATTCAAGCTCAAACTCAGGCACTTGGATACTTCACAGTGATGTTTTGTTTTATTTCTCCTCTTTTCACTCCTTTTGTTCTTTCTCAACTACCACCCCATTCCCACAAAATCTCCTATTTCACCTGATACAGAAAGGAAGAAAAGTATTAATCAGAAACCTGAACCAAAAATTTATCTCCAGAGAAACGTACTCATTAACAACTTAACACGCGGGGCCAGGACAGCTGGCACTGACATCACTGCAGGAACAGTTTGTGATACGACCCACGCAGTTTCTCACCGGTGGTCGGGGAGCAGCTGGCCATACAGCCCTCGCCGAGCGCGGTGCCGCACCGCAGCGGCTGCAGGCGGGCAGTTGCCCGACCCATGTCAGGGCTCAGGGGCCCCCAGGCTCCATCGAGGTTTCATCCCCTTGGCAAGCCAGGCAGATGCTGCTGAATCGGGCATTAGTCTTGCCTCTTAATCCTGCAAACTCTGACCTGCTGAGCAATACTTACAGCCAACACACACACTGACTTTTTCCAATTATTTTTTTTTTCCTATTTGAAGAGGTATATGGACAATCCTGCCCTTAGCCATCAAAGCCCTAGCTCTGCGAGCAAGCCAGGGGCAGACTCTTCAACCACATGTCTCCTTCAGGGTTTACAGACACTTAAGATTGTCTTTGCACCAAATGTCTGTTCAGGCAGAAGAAATTCCTTATGTTTTCAATCCCAAATTGTTAGAATGTAGGACAAAGTCCTTTTAGAGCAGGACACAACGCTCAATTGCTCTTTGAAAGATATATAAACGACACATGACTGCAGGAAGCCCTGCAGTAGTCAAGGATTCTGCCCTGCTAATACCGTCTTTGGGGGATGCTGGAGGAGAAGAGTTGAAGATCCTTATATGCACAGCCCTTGAAACAAAAAATACCAGAAAATTGCTCTCACTATGACAAACAAAATAAGCTCATATCCCTGGCACACAGAGATTCAGCCTTTAGTCTATTAATCTTTACTCATTAACTGATGAATGAACTAATTAATCATGCAAAGGGTTAGACGAGATGTCAAAAACCCATTGCATTTGTTTCCTCTTATAGATGCATAGCTAAATGGCAATACCTAAAACACAAAGAGAAGCAGCCTGCGATGCTAGCTGGGAACACCAATGCAACAGTTTGCTGGGGGGAAGCTCAAATTAATGGTGTTCCCTTTACCTCCTCAGAGAGCTCAGCTGCCAACTGGAAGCCCTGCTAACGGAGGAGATCTCATCAACTGCCACCCCGCAGGCAGCACAGCTATGTCCGCCGAGCTGCTCTGTGCCGCAGGCAGCACCGGTACCGCTGCTGCCGCAGGCAGTGCAACCGCCCTCACATCAGCGATTTCAGGCAGCGTCTGTCAACCCCGACACCAGGCAAGGCGGAGGGCACCGTCCCCGCACCCCAAGAGCTCATCACCAGCAACCCCGGTGGCCGGCAGATGCTCCTGGGAAGCCCCGCGGCCTGCCTGCTCTGTACGTACCCTGCCCTCGGGGGCCGACAGCGGCCAAGGGGACGGTGGTCCGACGGACGGGAAGCACAGGCGGTTGGCCAGCACGGGGCAGCGGAGGAGCCGAGGCTGGCTGGAGGACTGCAGAAAGGCACCCGTCGTTGAAGGGAGCAGAGAGGTGTCGTGGGGCCGAGAGCGAAGGAGTCCTCCAGCAACAGGGTGACAAACTGGTGCAGAGTTAAGTTTCTTGACACCTAGTCTGCATGCAGAGGGCTAGCTGGGACATCAAAGCGATGTCAGAAGTTCAGAGGAAGGTGGAGAGTGATCACGAGGGGAAAGAGGAGACGGGAGGAACCAACAGGACGGAGCTGCAGAGATGCCAACTAACACTGAGCCAGCAGGGACGGAAAGAGAGGAGAGCACACCTCCTTCGGCACCTGGATGCAGGTTGGACACACGGAAGCCACAGGTGAATTAAACATGGCAGGAAGAGAGGCGGGCCGCCACCTAAAAAAAAATCTGAGGAGAAAAAGGCACCATAATTAAAAAAAAAAAAAAAGGCAAAAATGGCTACGCCATGCAGGAGAAAAAAATATTTATGAACCATGTTGAAATAAAAGCAATCCTCCATTCTTAAAAGTATCTACTCTCAGAAGAGAAACAGGCAATTTCCTGTGTTTGTGTGCACTGCTTATGTTCAGACTTGAGCCCAAATAACAAAATGCTCTTTCAAGTAAGGCAAAACCAAGGGTTTGGTTTGCTGGAGCTGAGGGTAAAACTGTCTCAAAGGAGATCCCGCCTGCTTTTCCTGTTTCCCAACAGCATAACCAGAAATTAACACTGCTTTTACCAGCAAGAGGAAATCCAAACAGCAGCTGCCTGATCACTGCCTTGGCAGGCAGAAGGCAAATACTGGAACTTCCACAGCCAGACCAGCTCAGCACTTACTGAATCCTGACAACCTGCCGAGCCATTAACAACGTAATCCAAATATAAAGCTGTCGGCTGTGAAACAAGGAAACGCATTTTGCCAAACCAACAGGGAAATAGTCTTCTCCAACAAAACAGCAAAACTGTAGTTACGAAATACGGTAACACCAGTGTCCTGTTCAATAAAACGATAACATATTTCAATCTCACTTGGGAAATGCCATTGAACATTCTAAAGCCAGTAGTGTACGTGGAGCTCCAAGAATGAACTC